TTTTTATCTTATATGCTATTTACGAAGTAGTTATTTAGATTACTTCCTTCGCAGGAAGTACGTTATTGTTGTTCACAGAGGACTTTATGAAAGTTTCATGTAAAACTTTTTAAAACAATAGGAATAATTTAGTATTGCACAATTTATTTCTGAGACTACTCATTTCCTTCTACCTACAGTTTTTTAATTTAAGAGCAATTATTATAAATATTCTAGTATTCCAACTTAGTTCTAGTAGCACAAATGAAGGTTGGAAGGAACCAGGATGGCAGGAGAGAAGGAATTACCGTGAATCAGGAATTCTATAGAGAAGTCTTCTTACGTCAGACCATACAGCTCGATGGTAATCATCGTAAATCATCGCCTTGAACGGCATTGCAAGACAAAGGTAATTAAATAAAACACATCTTATTTTTTCCTGTTTATTGCCGCTTATTATCATTTTTTACTTTGTCACGTTCCTCGTTGCAACTTCGTCATCCAGTCCTTACTCATATAATTGACGAACTCATTAGAACATTTTTCTACAGAACAATGAGAACATTTTGTAGCTGATAATTAGCTGGTTTATTAAACTTTTTAAGACAGCTGAAGTTTATTAATCGACAGCACTTAACAGAAATGATTTACGAGTGATCATTACTCGGTTTTATACAGTACTCGATTTTACATTCTACCGCGTCGTTCATTGTTACACGATTATATTTATGAGGAACGCAGCAGGGAATGCGCTAATTTCGCTTCCTATCAATCTCATTATTTTTTCCCAATGTCAATTCGATGGCCGATGACGGTTACAAAGGTATTATACGAATCTCGTCCGCATCTAATAATTGAAGGCAAAGGTCTCCGCAGTCATTTCTAAATATAGTTCATACATGCTTTTTATGCAACTAGCAACCTACGGCTTTTTATACGTCTTGACATTTAAAGGCTCGCCCGAGTTTACCAAAAGTTATTATTATTGTTCTTTGCTATTTTAACCCGTTTGAAGGACATTGTTATAAGCTGCATTCACATTTTTAAAAACTACTTTACAAATTATCGTTGCACCGTAAAAGGCAATTATTCGCGAAACACTTTTAATTTACTCAGCTCGCACGTTTTAGTATTCTTAAATAGAAAAATTTGTAGAAATAGTTTAAAACGCAGCTTATGTGTAATCCGATTGCTCGAATTATTTGATTATTTTTTATCTCGTTAAAAATGTGTAGATTAATGTGTGATATACGTAAATGAGATTGTAAAAATCTTATTGCCGCGGGTATGCAGAACCACAAAGTATCTGTGCTCCGCGGAACAGGTATCCAATGTTGGAAAATTTAATTATGAACATTAAGCGCATTATGCACTCCGCCGCCTATCTGATCAGGAGCTATTCTGATATTCGTTTACCGCGTTTTTTAACTAACAGAATGAACGCTCCATTGATGGTTATGGGAATCGTGTGTATATATGCATATGTAAAATTCTTGTAAGTTCTCAATTTCTTACTTGATTATATTACTCATCTTTTTATTACAAACAGTACATATTTAACGTGGTGACAAACTTTTAAGCTTGTAATAGTACAACAACAATGACTTTATTGAGTTTGCAGTAAACTTTGTCTATCCGAGCATGGGAAAATAATTATTCCAAAAATTGAGACGATAGCTCGTGGAGCTCACAAAGTACCACGAAATAGTACATAATCTTTGCTTTGCACAGACGATCTAAGTGCAACAACCTGTACACAACGTGTAGTACCTACTTCTCTTGGTTTAAGCTTTGAACGTGGCGTCGTTCTCGAAGAACAAGGAAGCGAATCGTGAGTAGGAATTCTGATGGACATCGATCTCGCGATCTGGAATATTAATTCGATAGACACCACGTGCCCGTGTGTGGGTGTCCGGATTCGCGTGAGCACGCGAGCAAAATGAAATTGTGTGGGCGCTTTGTAGCGTGACAGGTCTGTTCTCTTTGGAGACTATTACTATGCCCGGCGATCGTTACGACGTATGATATTATACGTGCACACGTACGTACAGATATACATATGTACGTGGATAGTACATACGTAGGTACGTACGTACGTAGTATCACGTGAGAGCATTTCGTGAAGAGATGCGATCTCTTGAGCACCTCGAGCATGCCACCGCACCGCGAGAGTTCGATCCACTCGCGCGTTAAGGGGATTGTACCAGGGAAACCGAGACGAAACCTTTCTTTACCTCGAGTACTTTGTACGAAAAGGTTTCACCGAGCATTACACTGATTTATTCAATTCGAATTCTGGGGGCAACGTCTCCCAAAGGCTAATCGTTCCACGATTCGAACTCAATATGCAGACCCCGCTTTTCTTTCACTCTGCCCGTGAATGCACTTTTACGGAACACTGTTTTAGAGTTCAAAGATACACTTGTGTCAATTTTATGTACAGAGCATGCAGAGTTGACAACGAGTCCCAATCAAGGATAAATCTTTAAATAAATATATAACTATAAAATATGTATAGACTTTGGAATGTAATTTAATATTGAAGATTTCTTATGGTATCCTATTCTTATTATCTAAAAGCTAACGAGGACTAATCAACGAGAATTAGCGAACGCAGGTACAGCGAGAATAGTACGAGAAATGTATTACAAAATTTTGTTAGCAAAGTAGTGTGAACGCGTGATAATTTCGTTTCGAGTGGATAGTGTAATAGAGGCGGTGTACAGAGTTTTCATTCCAGGTAATTTAGCGCGTACTTACGTGGAAGAGAGTTTCGTTTTTAATGTACCCTGGTCACATGATGTTCAGCCTCACGAGTTTTTCCTTTACACCGTGCGTACGAAGTATTTGCGCAAATGGAGAGCAGATAAGGCAGTTATGTAATTTCTGTGAATTTTTGAAAGTTCCGTGCGCCAGCGGATTTTAATTGTTTTTAAACGCACGGCTGCCGTGTTTACCGTTACATTTTACGCGCGAATGATATTTGAAAACAACTGCGCAAATATTACCTGAGATAACTAGCATCTCTACGTTACGTAATTTCGTTATTTATGTAAGCGAGATTGTTAATTTTATCGTGCAATAAAATATTTCATTTTTGTTGTGTAGGAATACGTTCAGAACGGTTTGTATTAAAGTTACTTTGCGTTAAATAATAATTCAGTTGCGAACTATAATTAATAATCAATAAAATGAGATTGATATCTTTTTACAATTCTTTCCAAGCTGTTTTACCTTAACTTACTTTAAGTTAACAATAAAATAATCGATATATATGATAGTAGTCTGTTATCGACCAGCGCTGGTCGACTCGCTTCTTTAGTTCACCACTGGCAGCATTTACAAGAGGGTATCAGAATTTGAATTAAACAGTGGGGACAGCTGGTACAAAAGTTATGCAGATATGCATATTTCGAAGTTGCCTATTTTAGATATGTTTCGAGACTATACGAAGAACTCGAAACTATGTTTGGAATTCAAATTAGAGTGAATAAAAGTTAGAATTTTGCTTGCAACCGTATGAAATCTTTATATATAATAGAATGTTAATTTAAATGGAGAGAGAGTAGTGGGAATTGTCCACTGTTCGGATCTCTGATGTAGTCACCTCCACGCGGTGAGACCTGGATTGGTATCTAGTCTAGATTCTCTGTATCTTAAATTGTATCCTGATCTTTCAGTAATTTAATGCATGCGTTAATGAATATTACAATCAATTAAGAAAAAGATGCGATTAAATTTCGTTGGAATAGAAGTCGAACGAATGGGAATTTCTAGGGAAACATGAAACTCATCCCTCTTGTTCTCCAATTTTATTTTAGTAAAGTTTAAATTTAATCGGGATTCATATTCATAAACAGAGGACGCTCGAGTCAGCGTTCATTTCTTGTGTCGATACGACAGTCGAAGATGAGATACAAAAATCCATAAAGTGAAACGATTACTCTTATATCTCGCCTGTGCCTGTATCCTATATCTTACTGAATTGTCATCTCAGAAAAATGTGTGGATGAAAAATATTGCTATCTATCGTAGATAACCGAGGTGAAAACTCGCTTGGTAGAAAACTGCGCGTAGCTGGGGAAGATCGATATTATCCAGGTTCGCTCCACGACTGACGAGCCCTTGCTGGAACGTTATATTTAGATATAGACCCTTCCCTCGTCATCAACTAGCAGGGTAAAGCGGTAGACCTTGCTCAATTGCCTCTGGAAACCGATATTAATCCTTCATAACGTTGCGTGGCTTATTGTCAAATGGGAACATCGCTTCTTTGCTTGATGTCAGAAACTAATGATTAGTCTTCTTGATAGTAGAATAATAAGAATTTCCTATTAATCTATTATTAGTAGAATGATACGATCGTCAAGATATTTTTATCATCCGATTCCTCTCGAGTCTTAATAGTAATCATTTCACAATTCTGTAATATTTTAATCGTTGGATACAACATGCAGTGCTAAGAATAGAACGCATTGAGCAGTGAGAGTGAAAGAAAGGATTAACGATGGATGCAATCGCGGATTTTGAGAGATGCGGAAACGCACACGGACGGCGAGATTCAATTCCGGTTTTGATGGATATCAAGATGTTATATCGCGATATCGCGTGATGGTCTGATCGACGGCTTAACGAAGTATTGTACATTTTCGTGCACGCGAGTCCTTTTCGGAGGTTTTATTTTTATCTTCATTCCGTTTGATTCCCACGTATGGATCAGAAGGTCTATGGCGTTCCTTTCATCGCGTGCCTTTTTCGAATACATCTGTATACCTTTTGATATGAGTTTTTTGTTCTCTCTATGGGCTTTTTTCGTTGCGTCGCATACATAGAAAGGATCAGGTAGTGCTGTCGAAGTTGAAGGATTATTGGGATTGGTTGGTATTTTTAATCTTGGGCTCGTTCAGGCCTCGCACTTTTTTTTACATGCATTCTCTTTTCGATGATGCTTTAGAAAAACATAAAATTCGTTCCTATTTTTTTTATACGCAGATCTGTTTTGATTGATTAAAAAAACATCATTTTGCATCCTAGATTTCTTTATTATTCGCTTTTAATAAAATTCGGCTAAACCAACATGTTTGCACGTAATATTACACTGATAACGTTCGAAGGAAATCAATTTCATCCAGGCGACAAGCGTCACATTCTTATTTTATTCTGTATCCTCTTCTATGAAATCATCCATGAGCAATATTAGAATCTGAAAGCATAAAAGTTCATGCGCGCGGGTTTTCCATGGTACCTAAAGCAGATATTGCGGCGTTCGATTCTATATTCCATCTTGGTTGATACTTTGAGCATCGTATATCAAGCCACGAGTGAATACGTATAGGTATTTGCTACATACTGAAAACCGTATGCACGCGTTTTTCAAACAAACATGCGACTTACATTCGCTCATTTATTCTGATTTTTCCATTTTAATTAAAGTAACCATTACATTTTTGCTGAAATATAGGACAGATTTATAAAATTCGTTCAAAACTACGTTTCGCTTTGCTTTTTCACGTCAACGTAGTTAATCTTCGTTTGCGATTTATTCTTTTGCGAGTTTCTTTGTTCGTTTGAAGATATATTGTGCAGGATGTTAAGAGCCATTCAAATTAAATGAAAAAATGTATATTTTAAATTGTTTACGGAAGAGACATAAATTTTGGTAACGTGTTATGTATTGATACTTCTGCTTTAAGCTATAAATGGATGCGTATGTCGGTCGGTATGACGAACTAGAGAAAAAATGTACAGGTCGACTTCTTCGAGATCAAAACAGGTCAGGAGGATCATGTGAATTCTATAAAAAGACTTCTGGTTTCCATACAAAAACATGATCTTCCACTTCGTTTACCTCCCTGCAAGTCTGATTCCAAGTATAAAAGTAGAGATTATTAAATGTACAAATATACAATTCATTATTTCTTCAAAGAATGGTTTCAGTGGAATCGAGAAAAATTCTTGTATCCCAGCGTTTTTATTATTGGAGAAAATTAAGATTAAAAACTATGTTTTTAGCCGCCTCTCATAAATTACTCACTTATCGAGCGAACCAGCCGATGCAAACTTTTATTCCTAACTCAAGAATAACTGCGATAAATCTAATTAATTTTGTATTGACGTTCAACTCCCTGCAGTTCTTTCGATTGCATATAAATCGTGATTTAAAACTATTCAAGTAACTATCTGCAGTTTGCAAATTTTATTAAACGGGAGAAATTGAATACAATAACTAACAGGATTTCCCAGCGTGTATTTATTTGAGAACGTGTAGATTATATGAGATTTTGAGGAATCATGGACTGGATATTTTCAATCGCCGATTACGTCGTCTCGTCATCGATTATTTGAAACGCATCCGATCGACAACAATTCGAGATAGGCGATACCCGGAAAGGAACAATCTTAAGGGAGTCGTGAAAAAGCGATCTCCAGCGAAGAATTTTCTCCGTGAACGATGCCGAGTTATATTACCAGGAAGCTTGAATGGACTACTTAGACTACTACGTACACACCTCACGATGTTTTAAGGATCGTTCAGTGTAACCTCTTTCATGAAAGATTTACGCTATCATGGCTGTGCAAACAATTGCATCCATGCTTCTAAAAGTCCGTACAAGGGATCGAATGTAAACCGTACGATCGTTATTTTGCTTATCAGTAAAATATAGATTTTTATTGGGCAATCATTTTTATGGAAAATTATTTAAAATTGCATTGTATCACTGAATTGTTTTTTTAAAATTAAATAATCTGGTTGGTTCAGAAATTATTGAAAAAATATCTTAAATATAATTTCAACAGGAGTTGGTAGAAAAAGATTTATCCGTATAAGTGTTTTAGGAGAATTGATAAACGAGGCTCATAAACTTGAGTAACAAACGTGATATTTACTAACGGTGGAGTCAGGTTCGTTGCTGTAAAAGAAGAATAATTTCATGAAGTTTCTCTTCCAACCCATGCGAAATCCTGTTAAAAAACAACTTGCTACTATAAATATGACTTTCGTTTATTAATTAGTACGTGGTTAAATAATACTCTCCTTGTAATGAAATTATTGTCCTGTTTGCATAAATTATTTGTATCGAAATAAATATTCTATTCGAATAACATCATCTCCTAAACCTGCTCTATCATTAATCTCAAATTCATAATTAATTAAATGTGACACGTACTAAAATCGAATTTCTCTCTTCAGAAACCAGATTTCATTCCGTCGCTCTAAAGGAAGGAAATTACTTGACACATAGTATTAAAATTCTTATTTTGTTAAAAACTACTTTCCCCTTTTGTATCTGCTTAATCTGATGTATAAGTCGTACAATCACTCTGCCATGGAGGGAGTATTCATTTAAATATTCGTTGCCCAAATTAGTACAGAATTACTAAAGAGTATAATGAGGATAAAGAATAATTCATGTTGGCCGATTAATCATACCATTGTTAAAGCAACTTTTAATTATGTAATGTGGGCACGTGCACGAAACAAATGTTTATATTTTCTCCCCAATTTTACTTTGCTACATAATTTATGGTATTAAGCCGGATTTGCTGAATAAAATTCCGCTGAATTCCGTTCCGTAAGTGGCCGCGCATATACGCACAAATTTTTTGCCGTAAATCGCTTTTGTTTCTCGTGGATTAGCTGCACGTTAGTAATTATTCTAAGTACCATGTATTTCGTTTGACATCGTATAACCGTTATAAATGTCCGCGTCGTCATTAAAGCAAGTCAAGTCGCGTTTTCCATTAAGCTGTTTCGTACACGATACATGCATGTAACGCAATCCTCTTACGAATCTTGTATTATTTATGTCCCCAATACCATGGATTTCACCACCCGCCCAGTAAGTTCGTCTTTCATCACTTTCACTCTTAGAAAACATATTTATGACGACAAATGCATACAACGGTCCAAATCAGGAATTAATCAACACAGATTTCGTAATATTGCAGAAAATAAATTTGTTGTAACACGATTAAAATTTCATGTTCTTCGTCACTTCTCTAACATCAAGCGACGCCCTTTTTAAACACTAAATAAGCTAACTTCGCAATTATCGGAGACTGGATTAGACCTCTTAAAACAGAGTACTCAGTTTAATGTCAATTGCAATTAGTTGCCTGGCTTCTCGAAAATGAAACCCTACGCACTTCAAAATTGTCAAATCGGATTAGGAAGTCGTATTTCAATAATTTAATGGTGTCTATTTGATTAATTTTGTAAAAAGCTAGGTATTTATATCTCGGTACAGAACTAGTAGAACCTCACTTGGATAATTGCATTTATCAGCTTTCATAGTCACATTCATCTTCCCTTTATCCCAAATTACCCTCCAATAAATCTGGCTATCGTCTAGTTTATCGCGATTGATAACACCTATTGTCATCACTCGTAGAATCAGCTTCATTATCTCAGAGCTTAACGATTAAGTTAAAATATAGAATATTCAGTAATATTTGTATCATACAAATATATTCATGGCGTATGAATATACTACGTTCATAAAATCATTTTGGGAGAATTATATATGCAGTATTTTACGTATGAAAGGTGAAGGAAAATTCAATCAAGTTTTAAGGTCAACTATTCAACCATATGAGAGGAACCATTCAAAGAGTCGATCTATCAATATTTGTGAATGTAGGTTAGTGCACATACTACTATTTAAATTAATAATCCTCAAGATTATGGGGGTTGAACTCGTGGAATTGGAAGTAGTGAATCATGGTTGCAAACATAGGTAAAACAGCAACAGGCGACTTGTGTCTTCCCAGAACGGGTCCGTGTCTCTTTCACATTGACATACATACATATATACATACATATGTATAATGTTACCTGGAAAGCTGCACGATTTGCCTCTGTGATGTATTGATTGGAAGCTGGGGCTACAGGTGGCTTTCTGGCGCTTGCGCCATGAGGTGATATGAGTAAGCTCTCGTTTCCTTATTAAAATCCCCCATGAGGTTGCTGGAGTAATCGTTACCCGAGGCCTTACCAGTTACCGTGTATCTCTCGCCTCTCTCCCCTCTTTCTCTCGCTATCCTCATTTTCTTTCCCCTCTCTATCTCTTGCTAGGGGTACGTCGCACGTCGATCGCCGACCGAGGGTTGCTGAGTAATCTGTTGTCCACGGTTTGTCTTTCGAGGGTCGCCTGGCACAGACATCTCAATTTTGAGAATTTGTATTTGCTGATTCCTCCTCTCTTACGTACATGCGTAGTTTGTATATAGATACGGCAGGTTCTTTTCTTTTATGCTTACATGGCTATCGGGGATCGATAGAGATGAACGATCCGTGCCCCATAAATTATTACTAAAGAGCGATGGGTTCTTTTAAAATTTTGATACGAAAGATGATTGATGATTGTTTCCCACGTTTTCTTGCACGGGTTCATCGCGTTCATGTCTGAAACAATGTACAGGAAGACATATGACGGTTGTCGAAGGATCTTAAGGATGTATTGGCTATACAGTCAATCCCAAAAGTTTATGCACTTTAGAAACGCATTTTTTAAAAAGAAATCAGACGTCGGAAGAACATTGCTAATAATAAACAACAACAAAAAATTTTCGATTTTTCCAAGGTTTCCCTTAAGATTTCGCGAAATTTTCGTTTTTTGCCAATAACTCCCAAACGGATGGACTTACGTGAAAATTGTATATGACCTTTCTTGTAGAGG